CCAAACTTGGTCTCATTCGATTCAGAATGGCTTGAAATGTCGAGAAAACATAAAATTAGCGAATCGGATTTTTTGATGAAAACAAACTTCTCCTTCGGGAAGTTGAAAATGAGAGGAATAAAAAATTGGATAAATTGAATAAATAAACAATTATGATGGGAATGCAAATTAATGAATTTTTACCGAGAAAATATTTGGACTTTTGTGTCTCAAACTAGCACTATAAGATCGGAGACTTTTTTTAAAGCCATTCTCTTTATAGGGTCCTGCTCATTTTCATTTATATACTTTCCTCTGTGAGATATCTATTAACACTTCTATTCCAAGTGTTAATAAAAAATAAAATAAATGAATCTAAAAAAAATGTATCAAATTATGCTTTTGGCAAAGGAAATTAAAATTATATAATACATGTTTTTTTTAATAATATTTAAAACTTGATCTTTAGTTTATCATCAATACATAAATATTTAATGAAATGATCAAGTACTTGACTGCATTTAATAAATAGACCAAAAAATACAATTCCTGGGGCCAAAAGCGAATGGCCAGTGTAATCTCTAGATGCAATCCCTGAAGCTTCATCCCTGCCAATTGGATCTGCTAATAGTTCAGATGCACAAACATGGTATTCACCAACAAATCCGAGAAGTTTCTTAGTACAATGACATGTCTTGGAAATGAAACGGCTCTGAATCAATAGGCATATCAATAGATATATCTTCATTATTCAAAAACACTCGAAATGTGGCAAGTAACCCGGTTGTATCATCGATTTCACAATTAGCAGTAGGTGAATGACGAGATGATAAATTGTTGACTAGCAAAGTTCTAAAGGCAGACCCAAAAGAGTAACAACTTGGATTAGTATTCGAAGCCCCTTGACTCCTTATGCAACCGAAAAAATTCTCCAACAAATCTTGGTTAAAATTTCTGGTTCATAAGTAACTATAAAACCCTGAACTACTTTTGATTTCTGCCAAATCAGACCCTCTATCGTTTTAATCCAATTTTTAATGCAAGGAGATTTAGTTAAAACTGTAACTAAGCCCTTATTGCTTTTTATGAACTGCATTGAATTCAAAACTAAATTGGCTTCACGCTAAAATATAGTGTGAGCCAATTTATTTGAAATTGCACATCGAAATTGTTTACCAATAAATGGCAATTTTGATAAACCATTGACACGATCAAATAAGTAGTCTATGAACATCAAAAATTCTCCGGTACCATATGAAGTAACGTTTGCAGCTACTACTTGGTAACCAGAGTTTTGAAGTCCATGTGCTAACCGTTGAGAAAGTACTTGCGCAGCAAGACTGACTTTCATACGTTTAATTTTTGTTTGATCAAGGTGGTGTTCGGTTAGGACAACGACGAAACATACTTGAAGTAGAATCATAATTGTAATAATCTATGATGTCTTTCCAAAATGCTTCATATTCGTCCCCATCTAATCCTATAAAATTAACATTGTACTTAGCAAAATTATTCCGCATACACTTTAACAAATGTGGAGGATCATATAAAGGTACAATTCCATGGCCATCTATTTCAAAAATCAGTTTAATCCGGTGAAGGTTTTTTGTTTTATAATACTCTTCTGTATCATTTAAAAGCACATTAACTGCTTTACAATTTGCCGCATATTGGTCGCATACAAAAAAACCAATGCAAAAGCAAGATAAGATGCCGAAATTATTCAGAAAAACACTCTCATGAAAATTGCCATATCGTATCAGACTTTATATGTGCAGTATGCCATGGAACCATCAAGCAAATGACAAAGAATGCAAATTCTTTAAAGTAAATAAAGAAATAAAACGAAATGTTGGCACTACATAATATATTTTATCTTGAAGCTAAAAACATGATGTGGAAAAGAGGATATGCTGAGGCAGCTAAGATCAACCCGTACAATCCGGGTCGCAAACTGTGGCAACAACCTTTAAACCAATACTAAATAACTTTTTTGCCACATCAACAATAAGAGATTTTAAATCAGAACTATTTACTCCACCTTCGGAAAAGTAGAAATCAAATGGTTGCTTCCAACTATCCTTTATTCCTTTTATCATGAAAACAAATGCATGATCTGCAAATAAACTTTTTATGCCATTCGCTAGTTCCACAAAACCAACAATCCTTTTTACGATCATATGACAATTTTGAAGATAGTGATATTTCATCAAACATCAAAACACAGTATTTGCTACTCTCATACTTTTTATGAGAAATAGCTGAACCTATTATATTAAAAAGACACTCATTAATACCGCTATACAAAGGTATCTCTGAAAGCAACTTCCTCAATGTTTGAAGAGATGGCAAAATAAATATTTGTCTCCAAAAATGATAAGCCTTTGGAGACTTTTCATACAGATTTAAAGCAAGAATTTTGTCTTTGTCTGTAAATTTTCTTCCTTTCGGATTTTTAGTATGCTCTCTTAATGAAGACAATATAAAATTACTTGCCCCAATATTAAATGTTTCTGGAATATTTGAAAACATTTCAGAACATTGTATACTCTGTTGCAATTTATCCCTTAAATTGTTGCATTGTTTATTAATCCTTCTTACCTCCCGGAACAAAATTTTTGATGTATCATACATCTTACATCTTCTGGGTGTTAAGGCATTCCTACGCTTAATCACTGCATTCTGCAGCAATTTGCAGCTACCCTCGAGGCCTTCTATTAAACATAATAGAATGTTATAATATCATAGTTGATGAATTAATTATTAACTTCCTGTATAGTTAAAGTAATGGGCCAAAAATCGAAAATGAAAATTTTTGCATTTCTCGACGTTTTGAAGGTTTCTGAACATTTTGGCATACATCAGAAAAAATGGTTGTGTGTGCGTGTGTGTTTTGTATGTCCGCATTTTTTCGTCCACGTTTTCGGGCGCACGGATCTACCGATTTGAATAGTTTAAAAAAACATTCGATCCCTATTGATAGGGAAATGTGCTGATTAGTTTTTGGCAAAGGCAGGTCCTGCCATTTCGAAGATACAGAGCTAAATGTGAAAAAAATGGCAGTTTTTGAGTGAACTAAGCGTCCGATTTGAATGATCTAAAAAACTTTCTGCTTGTATTGACAAAACAATTGCTTTTGAGGGTAAAAAATATTACTTTTTTTTATTTTCCATAAAATATTTTTGTAATTTTGGATTCAAAAAATTACCCAGGCTAAGCGCCACTCTAGTAAAAATGTTTATCCAAGTGCGTTAAGACTGTTTATGAACTGGAACACTTTTCCAAATTTGTGAAAACTATTGAAAAATGTGAAAATGCCGCCAAGCTAAGCACAGTATAGTAATAATGTCGCACAGAATTATTTGCAAATGCGTTTAGACTATGACTATACGGGAGCACTTTTTCAATTTTGTGTAAATTAGGCAACTATTTTTTTTGAAATTGAATTCGAAAAAAATGACGATTGTTAATGTTCTGGACATAAATTGATTTATGATTTACATTTGATTTGCTCAGATATAACAAGATAGCAAAAATAATGGGAGTTACAATATTTGTAATAATAAATTTGAAAACGTTTAAAATTTCTCGAATAATTCATTACAGTACGGGAAGTTCCAGCAATTTGCCTTAAGACACGATGCCATACACCACTAGTTATTGCTGCAATTATTATAAAAAAATATCTTTGCGGGAAACTGGTGACTGTTTCAACCCGCACTTGACAATCTTTGGGGTACTGCAAAAATTTTTGTTTGCAGCATAGATAGTAAACACATGGTTTGCAGTTTGTATGTAAAACGTTCTAATAAATTAAACGCTGTAGTTTTTGAATGGTGCCCATTTTGAAATGCTTATTAAATTAATATAGCGACTATCCATAATACCATGCTATCCATAGATAAAAGAAGAGTATACTAATATAGACGTTTCTCTCTCGCGGTATTTGCGTTCAGAGAGCTAGGGAGAGTCACGAACGCAATGGGTGATGGCACTTTAATCGCATGTCGCTCGGCAGCCTCGTGCTCCTAAATGCATTCAAATTAAAGCGCCAAGATTAGAAATAAAAGAAAATTGTCTTTTACAAATTGCAGCAGAAGGATAGACAAACAATGCAATAATTTAAGGTATAAATTGCAACAGAGTATAAAATGCTCAGAAATAATTTTAACATTTCGGATGGAATGTTAAGAATATTTCTGAGCATTAATTACCTTAAATTATTGCATTGTTTGTCTATCCTTCTTGGTACAAAAGTTAAACAAACACGTTGAACAGTAGTAGAATATCTTTATCTAATATATAATTAGAAATCACTCAAAATACACGATGTTGTAGGTTAGGTTGTTTGTATAGAAGAGAACATCATAGACCTTATACAGTTACAGTAACTGTATAAGGTCTATGGAGAACATATATTTTGTACAAAGCATAGTCGAAACCTATGCGCAAGATGGACGCTTTGCCCGGTAGTGGGAGAAGCCATACAAATAGTAGCGCGAAATTCAAATTAAAAACATATTTATCCATCCTCCCGGGCGATGCCAAGCATCTACAATTTTTACAATAAAGATACACACAATGCCACATGAATGAATACAATTCTAAATTCTTATTTAACTTAAACTATATTGAACATATTTCAACGTAATCATAGGTGACATTTTTCTTAAATCGATAACATATGAATGAAAAGCGGACTGTATTAAATGAAGTAGTAATGCTTAGAAACTAGTATACTTAAAAACTATTGACATAAGTAGTATTATAAGTCAATTTTTATTAGTGTATATGAAATGAATAATAATACATAGAAATGCGAATATGGTGCAATTGAGTAAACAATAATAACTAATTATATAACCTTAATTAAAATTATTACAGTATAATGAAGCAACTTGTGATATAATCCTTAATTATCTTAATTGCTTAATTATAAAAATTTGATTAATCGGTACATGGTAAAGGTACAATTTTTACAATAGGTCTAGTGTGAATACCAGAATTGGTTTTAACCACCACTACCCTAACTTTTCCATTTGACCTATCTTAATTTCCATCACACGACCCGTAGGCCATTGAAGTGGTGGAGAATTGTCTTCTTTAATTAACACTAGATCATTGACCTTAACATTAACTTGGGTCTTTGCCCACTTATTCCTACGTTGTAACGTACTTAAATATTGCGTTGACCAGAGTTTCCAAAACCGGTCTCTCATGGCAGTCATTTGCTTATAAATCTTATTGAGATTCACAACCTTGTCTGAAAGATATGCTTCTGGAATTGCTGTTAAAGGCTCACCTATCAAAAAATGTCCCGGACTAATGTATGACAAATCAGAACTGTCATCAGTGGTTGCCAACAACGGTCTAGAGTTTAAGACGGCCTCAATCTGGACTAACACTGTGAAATATTCCTCATAAGTAAGACAATACGATCCAATTACCCTGCGTATATGATGCTTCATACATTTAATGGACCCTTCCCACAAACCTCCAAAATGTGGTGAATAGGAAGGAATAAACTGCCATCTAATCCCTAACTGTGCACTAACTTCGATTAGGGTCTGTTTTACCAGATCCTGTTTGAAAAAACGATACAAATCACTTAACTCCCTACTTGCACCTACAAAGTTCCTACCATTATCACTATGGATAACACTACAACACCCTCGACGAGAAACAAAGCGCCGCAATGTTGCAAGAAACGCATCAGTAGATAAACTTGAGACAAGGTCTAGATGTACAGCCTTTGTCACCATGCATACAAACAGAGCTATATATGCCTTCACGCGTGGAGCCTTTCGTAAACGGCTTGCTCTCAGAATAACTGGTCCGGCGAAATCCACCCCTACAGCCTGAAAAGGTCTTTGCTTAGTGACACGATCCATTGGTAAGTTCCCCATTAATTGCTCCGCTGTGGTAGCCTTAAAGCGTAGCCATGGCACTGAATTAAAATGGGACTTGTAATGAAGATACAGCGTGGAATAGAAATCTCTATGAGATGTGATAACCCATCACGAAATTTGTTCCAATCCTTTTGAATAGCCTCTGGGATCACATCATCCCAGTCAATTTTCTCTTTCCAAAGATTCTGCATGATTATTTTTGCAGTGATTGTTATGGGTGCAATCAGTCCTATCGGGTCATAGATTTGCGCTATTGAAGATAACACAAATCTTTTCGTGTCACTTGGTACTGTCCTGGAGTTTTGTGTTGCGTCAGTCTTATTTATTTTAAATATGTCACTTGTTGGGTTCCACACTATTCCCAATGTCTTTACGGTCTCAGGTTGAAAATTTGAAATTGTCATGTCTAGTTTGTGATGTGGTATAGAATTGATTAGTTCACTGGAGTTGCTTGCCCATTTATGCAACGCAAAGCCTCCCCCCCCCATTAAATGAGTTATGTCTTTCTGTAAACTAATTAAATCTGCTACGGAATTTGTACCTGTGATTTATTTATATTATATCATCCACGTAGCAGTCCCTATCTAAGACTTCAGCAGCTCGAGGGTATATCAAATTTTCATCAGACGCCAACATTTTTAAACAACGCATCGCTAAGAAAGGAGCACATGCGGTTCCATACGTAACAGTAGTAAGCTTAAATACTTCTATTTCATTCTCTGGTGCTGTTCTCCACAGAATGAGTTGATAGTACTGATCTATTTCCCGAACTCGTATTTGCCTATACATTTTTACTATGTCAGCAAAAAAAACATACAGGTGTAAGCGAAATCTAATTAAGATGGAAAATAAGTCTTGCTGAAGTTTAGCTCCAGTATGTAACGTCTCATTTAAAGATAGGCCAGAACTTGTCTTACAAGATGCATCAAATACAACCCTAATTTTTTCATACCGCCCATCCTTTAATACTGCATGATGCGGTATAAAGTATGACCCTACTGGAACATTCTTCAAATCAATAAGCTCTGCATGTCCTAATCTTATATATTCCTGAATAAATTCATTGTATGCCTTAGCTAGTTTTGGGTCTCGAGTAAAACGTCTTTCTAAATTTTCCAATCTACCTTTTGCCCTATTAAATGATTCTCCTAAGCTGCCCTCCTTATCTGATTTAAAGGGTAAGGCAACCTCGAATATGCCATTATTTTTTCTACTTACATTGGACACAAAATGCTCTTCGCACAACTTATCCGACCCATTCATTGTGACATTGCTTGAAGATACCTCCTCAATTTGCCAAAACCTTGTTAGGTTATTGTGCAGGTCTTCATTCGAAACAAAGCCAACATGAGCTACAGCATCCGACTGTTTATAAATCCCTGACAACAACCAACCAAAGTGACTTTTTCTGAGTACTGGTAGACAATGCCCTAACCGAACACAGCCCTGTTGCAAGATATCGAAGTATAACTCAGCCCCTATTAATAATTCTACAGGTAACGCGACATTAAATTCTGGATCGGCTAAGTCTACATAACTGGGTATTTTCCAATCCTTATAATCTATGCAACTACTCGGTAAATTTTGGGTAATGTGATCAACAACTACGCAATGAATGGTCCGTTGATATTCTGAAAGTCTAGATTTAATTTTAATTTTCCCAGCTTTCTGACTCACACATGATTGCCCTTGTAACATTCATTTTACTTAAAGAAGCTATTGTAGGACATTTCAATTTTTGTATTAATGAATTGGTTATTAAGTTTATTTGGGAACCACTGTCCAGTAGAGCCCTCATCTGGTGGGTTTTGCCATTTGCATCAAAGACATAAAGGGAAACTGTTGAAAAAAGTGTTTGAATATTATTGTGACTAGCTAGAAGGACGTTGTTGCCAGAATGGGGTAGGCTATTTGAATCTGAAGGATTAACATCATCATGAATTAATGTATTGTGAGGTTCTCTACATCTGTAACACGTACCTTTGAAACTACATTTCTTAACATCATGAGCAGGCAGTAAGCAACGAGTACAGAGGGAATGTTTCGACACTAATTCTTTGCGACCTGTAACCTCTAACTGTTTAAATTTCGAATATTTATATAGTGGATGATTTCCCTTACAACAGCAACAAGGAGATGGTACTCTTTTCACAGTTCCAACATGCACCATTTTGGAACTTCCCTGACTAGCCTTATTTTTTAATTTGAAAGAGTTTTCCAACGCACACACTCTTGATTCTAAAAACGAAAAAAATTCATTGACCGTTGGAAGCACATTCCCATTCCTAGCTAAATTCCATGCCATTCTAGTGCTGCTATCTACTTTCTTGTTTAACATATACAAGAGAACAAGATCCCAGTATTTTGTTGGCTCATACACTGCTAAAAGAGCACGTATTTGCTGCCTAGCGGTGCACAAGAAATTGCCTAAGGATTCATGCGTACCTCTGTGTACTTGAGCTATGTTATCAATCTGCTGCAAAAGTGAATTTAGAATTAAAAATTTATTATCATATGTTTTGCATAACAGATCATAGGCGACCATGTAATTTTCATTAGTTAAGCTTAGTGATGAAATTAATTTTGCAGCAGATGATATTAGAGCTCCCTTTAAATAGTGCAACTTAGTCACAGGAGGTAATTTAGTATTATTGTGAATTAATGAATTATATAAATCTATAAACTGTGTCCACTCACTATAATCACCATTAAATTTTGGTAAGGTGATATCAGGTAACTTAACGTCTAACACAGAATGACTATCTACAGCCCTAGAAGGTGAGGGGGTACCATTATTTGTGAGAGCATCCAATTGCGACATCATGTCCAAATACCTATCAGAATACTCGAAGTACTCTTTCGAAAACTCTCCAGGTTGGGCCACCTCTAACTCTATATAATTAGTCTTCCACTGATGACATAGTTCTACTAAACGCTGTTTCCTTCTTTTTAATGCCTCAATGTTACTATCATTCTGACCCGAAGCTACAAATTTAAATATAGTATCAAAATGAGCCTTTACAGTATTATGTTTCACAATTAAAGAACTTACATCAGCCATGTTTTAGTGTATATAAGTTATCTCAATAAGTTAAAAGCAGATGACTTCCAAGTTTTCAATGTAGTCTGCTAACTTAATAGTATATAACTAAGTAAATATAATATAACGTATAATTTGCAATCCAATTCCGCCAAAGCTAATAATAAGCTAAGAATTGTGCCTTAAGTGCCTGAATCACCCTATGATATTAACAGTATACGATGGTGATCAGTAACAACTAATTATAATTAATCTAATACTAGTACATAACCTCGGGTAGGATAACATCCGATAATCGTAGATGATGCAGACTCGGGTGCTCCAAAACCTTGTTGTGTATGTAATGAGTATCCTAACCTCACAACACGTGGTGCCTTGGCCTCTATACTGCTTCTTGTGCCTGGTATTTCACGGCCTGGACAGGATAACATCATGTAATGTAAGATCTTGATGCTCTCAGATGACCCCAGTAACACGAGCGACAGCGATGGCAAATATTAGTACCTCGTGTATGTAGCCTCGTAACCTCCTTTCAAATTGAATCTGAGTCCATCCACTCAGATCAACGATAATAGAAATTGCTCTTCTTCTGACGTGATTGAGTGATATTAATACTTTTGATTACTGTGAATAGTTTCACGTTTGGATATTCCACTCGGCTTCAACACCAAATTTTGTGACAGCAAATACGAAGTTCTTTTATACCAAATTTTAATGATGTTTTTTTCTTAAAATCCGGCTCGAAGGACCAAAACTTATGGTACAAAAGTTAAACAAACACGTTGAACAGTAGTAGAATATCTTTATTTAATATATAATTAGAAATCACTCAAAATACACGATGTTGTAGGTTAGGTTGTTTGTATAGAAGAGAACATATATTTTGTACAAAGCATAGTCGAAACCTATGCGCAAGATGGACGCTTTGCCCGGTAGTGGGAGAAGCCATACAAATAGTAGCGCGAAATTCAAATTAAAAACATATTTATCCACTTCTTAACTCCCTCAACATATAATGGGTGTGTCATGGGGAGTTATCTTCGAACAAATGCGCGTTGCACTGTTTTGGTCCTGAGTAGTTTCAATTTTTAAAAACAGATGGCTCATATGCACTCAATTTCAACTACAAATTGTTCGTGGTTCATGCAAGTGGCTGTCAAGTATTTGATCGCTGTATGGCTGTACGAATAACCTAACTTTTTGAACTCGTGTTGTTTCTAATTAATTAATTTTGTTTAAGTGAACATTTGTGAAATTTAATATGGCAAAGTGTTTTTATAGTACCCAAAAAAGTGTCAAGTGCGGGTTAAAATATTTAGCTATTCCAATACAAGTTTCCGCAAAGGTATTTTTTAATAATAATTGCTGCAATAATTATATATAATCAAGATATGTCAACATGTTATTATATTGAATAGGTGTCTTGGGGGTACCTGCAAATTGCTGCAAAATGCACGAACAAAGCGCAGGAGTACTTTTGACAACCAAGGAATGCAATATGTAATGACAAGAAGGATTCATAAACAATGCAATAATTTAAGGAATAAGTCGTACAAAAAGTCTCCAAAGGTCTACTATTTTTGGAGACTAATATTTATTTTGCCATGTCCTCAAACATTGAGAAAGTTGCATTCAGAGATACAAGTGTATAGCGGTATTTATGAGTGTCTATTTAAAACATTAGGTTCAGCTATTTCTTTTAAAAAGTATTAGTAGCAGATACTGTGTTTTGATGTTTGATGAAATACCATTATCTTCGGAATTGTTATATGATTGGATTGAATCTCATATTGTTGAAGTTATTCAAAAACAGTTATTCAGCTAGTATGGTTTAATTTAAATGTTCATCAACGTAAGTTCATTGTTATATTTAATAAGATTATCTATTACATTAGCAAATGTAAACACTTATAAAGTAAACTAGTATTGGTTTAAATGTTCATCAACGTAAGTTCATTGTTATATTTAATAAGATTATCTATTACATTAGCAAATGTAAACACTTATAAAGAGAGTCTATACCATACATAATATTTTAATGTATTTTGATTGAAGATTAGTGTTATAATATTCTTCAAATAAAACTTGTGTAACATCCCAATATAATGTTTAAATTCAAGATATATTTGTTACCGACCTTGGGAATCAAAAATATTGCTTTTATCTTTTGATTCATAAACAATTGTATGTGCATAAAACATTATTCTGTTCATTGTAAACACTTTGTTGATCTTTTATGGCAATTTCAATGATAATGTTTTCATGATGGAACATGGCTAAATGTAATGTTATAAAACACTCGTACAGAAACTATTCAAAGGTTTTGTTAAATGCAACTTTACTATTAATTCATTAGATAGCGAAATAACTATTACATGCAGAATTAATAAAGAACAATGTCTCGTAAATGAGTTTTAATCCTAGGAATTTGAATTTCTCTCAATTTTGATATCAATATATATATTTTATGTTTTTAGGACTTTTTTGTTTGTGAAGTATTTGTACTTTTTAACAAATTATTTGTTTTTTTCTTAACGCTTTAAATTTTTGTATTATTTGTCATTCCTTTTAAATTTGTAATTTCATTGCGTGCTCCTGTGCTTGTAGTTTCTTCTTAGTTTTTAAGATTTTAATATATTAATATTAGTCATTAAGTAATTAATATTAGTCAGTTATTTGTGCTTAGTTTAGTTAAATACTTCTGTGATTTTCTTCACTTAGATATTTAGTTTTTGAAATATTATTTAAGCATAATTGTGAAATTATAATACTTTTATAATTATGTATAATAATTATTATATTTTCAAACATTCCATAACTGTAATTATAATTGTTAATATAAACATAATTTTAATTGTTCTTTAAACATATGTAATATCTTTGAAAATATATATTTTGTATTTCGTATGATTTGTTCTTATTTCCAATATTAAAAATTATTCAGGTTTTTGGGGCTGTATACGATACGTACAAATTAAGAAGTAAAACCAGGGGTAATTTAAATATTATACATGTGCTGCCATCTATTTTTAAAAATTTGTATTCCAATCGAGGTAACGTCAAACCGCCAGACATAGCGATCTATTATACTTGTTTATCTATGGGGTGTGTCATACATTTTACATGCCCTCGGCATCAAGACACTCCTATCCTCAGTCACTAGATTCTGCTGCAATTTGTATTCCCAAGAACATCTAATAAACATAACATGTTGTAATATAATATCAAGTCGTAATAGCAAATGGTATTAAATTATTCAGAATTATTATTACCTTTTCCACTGGAGTTCCGGAGTATTCTCCTGGTCATATATCAGATTGTCTTTCTCTTCTTATATCACTGTGAACTATAGACATGAGAACTATTCTGTGAAATATAATTGGACATTTCTAATTTGTTCACTTCATAAAGCCGCAAAGAAGTGCATTTTTATATTATTTCTGAAGATACCACAAGTTGGTGCGTTACATTTTGCCATATTAAATTTCACATAAACGCTTACTTGAATACAATTAATTACAGAAACAACATCGAACCACAAACTTTGATACAAAATGGCAAATGGCAAATCTAAGCGAGTAATTTTGACGTGTATCTTTTTTTCGCTACAAATAGTAGTCCTTTCCAAAACAGGGTAATATACATTTGTTCGGAGATAACTCCCCATGATAATACATATATTAAAATAGATATCAAAGTAAATAGCAATATATTGCAACAAACATATTTATTTAAATAAATCAAGAAAAATATAAAGTTTAACAAATTACAGGATTCCTGCCTTCAAGTGGATAATCATTCATTATTCACTACCAATAATGACGTGAACACAAAACATGGTGTGTAAATTATAGTGTCAGTAAGTAAGATTTGCCACTTTTCAGCACATTCTTTGCGATAAATCCAGTCATGCTAAATGGCTCTTGACATTATCTTGAATATTCAAAAAACCGCTGCATTAAATTAACTTATTTTGTCAACTTGCACTGAAATTGGATTTCGTTCATTAACTCAGTGGCGTTCTTAAACAATGTAAAATCTAGTCTATTTATGCTTTTCCATATATATTTAAGAGCCTCCAAATTTAATACAATTCTGAAAAGTTAGAGGAGCCTTGCCTTTCTTATAAAAGAGCCGTAGCTTGCTCCTAAAATGTATTGTGATTAAAATTTTATTATATACACAGCTTTAGCAACTGCTTTATATCCTCTTCATTTAAGAGTTATAGATCTGATTGAATCACAAATAAAACCTTATAAACAATTATAAAACACTTGTAAACACAACATTCACAATAAGAATCAAAACAAAATGGATGTCTCATATACGATAACCTATATGAAAGTTTTCATGTTTTGACATTTCTTGTATATATTGCTCGTGGATTACTTACCTGTCAAACATGACATCGGCTCACTAGCGCCAAATTTGCACCTTGCGTTCGTGACTGGAACTAAGCGTTGTGAACGCGGATTTGTACTGAGGATGTAGGTCCATGGTCCATGGTCCATGATAAATGAAACGTACTGAGTGTTGTCACACCTGATCTCAATCCTATGCGAAGTGAGACTCAAATCAAATGTCAAAGTCAAAACGAATTAATAGATATGTGTATATTAAAACATATTTATCATTGATGCAAAGCATACAAATTGAAAGCTTTCTTAATTTTTTATAAATTACTGTTGGTTTGTTTATAAAAAACGACTAGCGCCGAAAATGTCCGAAGAAACAATTTCAAACCCAATAATTAAAACTGAACCAAAGGAATATTCTCCAGTTAAACAAGAACTTGATGATTATGACATTACTCCAGAAACATATTTAGAAAACGAGGTAATATATCTACAGCAATTTTCAGAATTTGAGATAAAAATAAGCGAAAAAATAAAACAAGAAACAGTTGATGATCAAGATGAAAGAAGTTTCGGCGTGGAATCTTACATGGAAAACGAGGAGATATATCAACAGCGATTTTTAGATTCTGAAGTCACTATAGACGAAAAAATCAAAAAAGAAATTGATGATCAAGATGAAGCTCGTTTCCATGAGAATTCTTACACGGAAAATGAAGAAATATGTCTACAGCAATTTTTAAAATCTGAAGTAACAATTGACGAAGAGGTTAAGCATGAATCGATTGATGAGCACCTTGCAGACACCAGTAAAAACAAAAATATTGATCATTTTGGTGAGTTAAGTGATTTAGTGGATAATACAAGTGAATGTAATAAATCATTTAAAAAAGTTTTAGAAAAACGTAAAGCTACCCTAAACTTGAAACAACCCTTGACATGTGAAATTTGCAATAAAAATTTCTCAAGAATTAGCACCTTACATCGACATAAAATGATTCATACAGGAGAACGTCCTTACAAATGTGAAACCTGTAATAAAGCATTTATAACAAATAGTTGTTTAGGTCAGCATAAAAAATTTCATGCAAGAGAACGTCACTACAAATGTGAAATATGTAATAAAGCATTTATAACTAATGGTAATTTAAGTCAACATAAAAAGATTCACACAGAAGAACGTCATTACAAATGTGAAATATGCACTAAAGCATTTATAACAAATAGTAATTTAAGCCAACATAAAAAGATTCATACGGAAGAACGTCCTTACAAATGTGAAATATGTAATAAAGCATTCATAGCAAAACAACCATTAAACCAACATTTAATTAATCATACTGGAGAAAAACCACATAAATGCAAGATATGCAATAAAGCATTCAGATTAAAACACAATTTAAAGCGACATGAATTTGTCCATACTAAAGAAAGTAATCATGAATGTGCAGTATGTAAAAAAACATTCGCAACTAAACATAGTGTAAGTCAGCATGAAATGATCCACACTGGAGAACATCCTCAAAAGTGTGCATTATGCAATAAATCATTCACAAGAAAAAAATATTAATACAACATTTAATGATTCATACTGGAGAACGACCACATAAATGCTTAATATGCAGTAAAGCATTTACAAGACAAAGCCAATTAAAACAACATTATTTTGTCCATACTAAAGAAAGTAATCATGAATGTGCAGTATGTAAAAAAACTTTCGCAACTAAACAAAGTTTAAATCAGCATAAAATCCGACATCTAATGATTCATACTGGAGAACGACTGCATAAATGCAAGATATGCAATTATGCATTCAGATTAAAAGAACATTTGAAACAACATGAATTTGTACACACAAGAGAAAGCAATCATTAATGAGCCACATGCAATGAAACATTCGCAACTACACCAACCAATTAAACCAACATAAAACTGTTCATACTGTAGAACATCCTTATAAAAGTGAAATATGTAATAAAACATTAAAATCTAAACATCGATTAAAATGCCATTCAAACCAAAACAATCATGAGAACTGATCATTTTAAACACAGTAAGACATTATAATTATAAATAGCAGACGTTCTCATTCGTGCAGGATGCTTTGGTAAATATTGTTTATAAAATATCTTTGAAAATATTTGTGGTGACTAATAAAATATAATATTTACTTCATTGCTCACCAAATATTGTATACTGGCAGAAGTTATTAAATGAATATATAGTGTTATTATTTAAATTAAATTGTTTTTTATTTAATTATGTACATATGTATAACATAAAAATTAAAACTTGTTATAAATAATATTTGTTATTATTGGTCACTTATTAACTACGCATAGAGTAGGTTATAGTAATCATGCAAAAAATAAAATCATCAACATACCTTAATATTTCAACATACCTTAAAATAAATGGATGTATATGTATGTATGTGTGTACAAATTTTCTCTGAAACCTTTGAAACGGTTTTTCATTTTCGATTTTTTTTGCAATTACTATAACTTACCCTGCGGGAAGTTAAAATTATTGTTACGGATTCTTTTATTTATAACCCTTTTGTTATGAATTATTTTATTGCTAGTTGCGGATTATTTAATTATTTGATCATTTGTTACTTAAATATTACTTTTATCTTCTATCCCGCACTGCTGAAAAACTAAATATTAGAGCTTTTGTTCGTGACTTAACTAAACAATATTTTATATTCACATATTTACATACTTATACTAATCTCAATCTGAACTATACAACTTGAATCTAGACTTATCTGTAACCACCATTGTCTATCGTGTCCATACTTCGGGCTCCCGATTCACATCACACACTAGTCACATTTTAATTAATAGTTTACTTTCGGTTTGGGGACAGCTTTCGATGCGCTGTCCCTCATAACATTCCTTTAGCTTATATTATCACAACATCAATTATAAAACACTTCGCGCACAACACCGAGCTCATCCCTTCGACTCATATCGGACTCATGCTCTTGGGCTATTACTACCACTACCAAAACAACTGTTAGGGACTAATGCTTAAGAAGGATTCTTCCGACTGTCACCCCTGAGGGCGTATATTCTACTACTTCCACTTGCGGACTCTTCCACACTCTTCATCAGGGATGGTTTACACATATATGGAGAGGGGTGGCTTTATGTAATTTTCATGTGTGTATGGGCTGTCACCCACACATTCGTAACAATATTGCATGTTAAAATATTTTATTATTTTCAACTTAAAATTATTAAAGTGATATTATTTCTTGTCTTAAATTATAATTGTTCATATATGAACTTGATTCGAATTGATTCGAATCATAATTCGAATCAGGTTTTTTTCTGATCAGGAAAATCACTCGAATCAGGAAATTTTCGAGTCGGCACATCACTAGTTTAGACATATATGGAGAGGGGTTTCGTAACAATATTGCATGTTAAAATATTTCATTATTTTTAACTTCCAGAGAGAGGTTTTGTTTTAGACATTATTGATCAGAGAGTCCGTATCCAAAACATCTTCATTATGCAAAAACACTCAAAATGTGGCAAGTAACCCGGTTGTATCATCGATTTCGCAATTAGCAGAAGGTGAATGACGAGATGATAAATTGTTGACTAGCAAAGTTCTAAAGGCAGGCACAAAAGAGTAACAACTTGGATTAGTATTCGAAGCCCCTTGACTCCTTATGCAACTAAAAATATTCTTCAACGAATCTTGGTTAAAATTTCTGGTTCAAGTAACTAAAACCCTAAACTACTTTTGATTTGTGCCAAATGTAACTCAAACCCTCTATCGTGTTAATCCAATTTTTAATGCAAGGCGATTTAGTTAAAATTTTAATTAAGGTAAACGTACCATATTACGGGATGTTAAGGGACGTTTGACTTTAAAGACGTATTTTAGAGAAAATAGGAAAGTGGACGAACTAAATCTGTTATATTTTATTAATTAGACCTTTAAGATTATTATAAAACAAGATTTTTTCGTCGTAGAACGTTATTTATAGAAATAATCGGCATTTTGGTGAACTACGCGTTTGTCTCTAATTCCGTGATAAAATTCGGTTCGTGAATATAATGCCGGGAGTTGCTGTACACTATTCCGTGATAGCGCTCGAAGCATACATTTTTGATCGTATTGCCTTGATGAATATAGTTGAATAGGTTACATAGACACATAGACCTTATACAATTTCATGGACTGCTAGTCCCCATACAAGTCTCAATTTCTCAAGTAAAAAAGTGTCAAAAGATGTTCTATGGTATGAGGGCATACGAGGGTAATTTCGCGGCCGAGATATGTCAAACTCGATCGCTTAAGCGTCAAATGAAAGTCTGTGTGTTCGAAATTGTTGGCAAAATATTATATATAATATACATTATATATAATATACAATTTATGTTGAACTAATGAATGTAATGAACTATTTATTTATTTATTTATTTTAGTTATACAAAGTGTTTAAGGGAAATTAGAAAAAAAAAATAAAACATTATAATTATTATAAAATTCAAACATTATTATAAAATTCACTGAAAATAAGAACAGTTGGCTAAGGCTATTATGGGAAATTAGAAAGCAATAATGAAATATTTATTTAAATGTAATATATTTATTATTGGTGTTTAAAAAGCGCAATTTTCGTATGAAAGCGGAGTACATATTTATCAACTTTGCTTTTCTTTCTTTCTTCATGGTGTATTCTAATTGTTAAGTAAATTTTTGCGACAAAGTTGATAAGGTCATGATAATGCTGGACAAATTGCTGGAAATGGCTTGATCTAAAAAAAGAGTGCGCGTATGGATCACACGCGATTGAAGTAAAACTTTTAATATTGTATGAGTAGGCAATTAAGATAAAAATAAAAAAACATCATATTTGAATTTTAAAAATCATTTATTAATAATCACATAATATCAATAACACAGTTTAAAACAACAGCGATAGATTAATTGCTATCATATTTCATATATGATATAATAGGTTTGTGATAACTGAAATGAGAGACATAAATTTTGCTTTGTAAACTATGTACATTTCTGGAGAAAACTGCATCAATAGTCGTGCCATATCTTGTGGTTGATTCAAATGGAGAATTATTCATTGTTAAATTAAATTTATTATTTAAAAAATCAATTAATGGTTGAGATTCTTCTGAACGAAAATTGACATTGAAATCTCCAGCAAGAATTAATGGTATCTCGTTGTGATTAGTGTTTAAAAGTTTTGCACCCTCATTAGAAAAATGAAGTAACTGCTGATGAAGAAATTTAATAATATTTGATACGTTTTTATTGGGAGAAATTTAAAGGACGACTATAATTAATGTTTGATTCTGAGTGTTCACACAGCGGACAACTGCAATATCACCTACTTGTGTAATTTCATTAGGAATATCCAGTAATATCGTTGGCGCAAGAAACTGCATAGGAGTCGCATTATAAAGAGTATCTGAACATGAATGATAGACAGCTACACCACCTGCTCTTGAGTTTGATCGTTTGTATTGAGTAACGCAGTAATAGTTCTGAATATCAATTCGTTCTTCATTATTAATCCAAGTTTCCGAAAATAACAAAAACGTACAACGTTGTAGCACTTTATCTTACAGATCAGGCAAATGAGCTCGTAACTTTGGCAGTTAAAGGAAAACAATGAAATGTCGTTCAAACTTATTATCTCACTCAATTTTTCTTCTTATGTTATTAATCTACAAGTTGAAAGTCTTTGGAATTCAGTTTGTAAGTCCATTAATCCTGCTGGCCGTTTTCTTCCATGATAAATTTTTTTGTCGTTGTTTTAGCAATGATGAACAATCCATTAATGCTGGTAACTCGTGATCATGCAACATATAGAAGCTGCTGATTATGTGTTTTATTGTATTCATATACAATTTCATCAAAAGTACCACCTTGTGATTTGTGTATTGTGAGTGCACAAGCAGACACTAAAGGAAAATGATTTCTTTTGGCAAATATGATTTTATTTCTATTCATTGGAATAGATAAAGATCTCCTGAGAATCGGCACAGCTGACCTACTGATATTAAGAGTTTGAATATGATGTGCAGCTTTCTTCCTAATTTTGTTACCTATCTTACCAGGAAATTCAAACCATAAACGTAGAAGTTCATCATTATCGCCACGTTCTATCAATTCCTAATTTTGTTACCTATCTTACCAGGAAATTCAAACCATAAACGCAGAAGTTCATCATTATCGCCACGTTCTATGTACACTAATTTTCCTACACAACCATTAGCTAAGCCATCACTTACATCAATATTAGTTGTTATTATGTAAAATTTATTCAAAACTAAAATTATTTCATACGGCAAACCCCCGGTATCAATAACCGATTTTTGTGAAACTGTTGACGAATGTATAATTGTTGATATGTCGCATGGCAACCTACATAAATATCCGTGGCAGTAGATATTATTTTGTCTTCAACAAGATTCAGTTAGCGTTCGACTGTTCGACTTACGCATGACATGACGGGAGTGGATCGCGACTCGCGACTCGCGACATCAGCGCCTACCTGCGTCGTAGTGTTCAACTTCACGTTGG